TCCGCACTGCGCCTCTTCCTCCTCCCTCCCTCCCTCCTTCGCTCTTCGTTCCCCCTTCTTTGTCTCTCTCTCACTCTCTCTATCTCCTCTTCCTGAGCTTCCTCCTTCTCCCTTCCCCAAGGGGCACTGGGAGGCCGTAGGTGGTCCCAACAGACAGCTCCCAAAAGCCTCCAAGAAGGCTTTCACGACGCCTCCAAGAGGCACGACGCGTGTTAGTGCAGCAGGCCCCGCCGATACTTCTTCTAGAATTCAAGCGCGCGCGAATCGCGCGCGATGCTTCGAGTATGTATATATGCATGTCTGTATGTATGTCTGTCTGTTAGTCAGCCATTCTGTCTGTATGTATGCATGTAAGTAGGCGTCTCTTCATACGTGTATGCGTATGTCGGTTATACGTGTGCGTATACGTGTGTTTATATATATATATATATATATTGATATCTGCATGCGTATGAGCAGGTGTGCGAACATGTATATGTATACGTACACGTACCAGTATGTGTAAACATCTGTGTCCAGGAATCTACGTATATATCGGCTTATACATGTATATATACACCCACGCATGCACACCTTCAGCTGTTTAGTTATTTTAGACATGCAGATGTGTCTATGCACGTGTATAGGTATAGGCGCATGTAGTCACCTTTGCATGTCTATGCACGCATCTCTTTTTATACGTGAATGTGGCTATGCATATGCTTGCGAACCTGTATACGTTAATACATGTGTATTTGTGGATTTGTAAGTATATGCTTATGTCTATGTGTACGTTTACGTATGGTCATATGTGTGTATGTAGACATGTATACGTATCCATACATATTTGTCTATTTGTATATATACAGGTTTTTGTACATGCACGTGCATATATGCATGTATGCACATTCTTGTGTAATATACCTGCATGTGTGCATGTGTATTTGATGCTATATACGTAACTGTACATGTATGTGTATATGTTCAGATACATATGTATGTGTACACGTGTATGCACATGCCTGCGCAGATGTATACGCATATGCATGTGTGCAGGTACATGTGCATGTTTATATACATGCATATGCATATGTACATGCACACACGTACATATATTTATATTTACACATATATGTATAGGTATAGGTATATGCATATGTATTTGTGTGCGTATATATATATATATATATACATATAGATGGGCCGCCTCCTCCAGAGACGACTCCCAAACTTACCGAGCATATCTGGCGCTCCAGGCAATCCATCTTGGTCTCAGCCTGGGAGTTACTCTCCGTTTCCCTTCTGTGCGACGCTCCTATGAGACACAGGGGCATCCCATCATGTTTCTTGCTGGACCGCTGGTTTGGCTCCATCCTCGAGGACAAAGTTGAAGCCTTGCCAGAACACAGTGTCTTCCCGACCTCAGGACTGACTCCAGCTCGCTTCACAATCATTCATATTCTGTCTGCCGGCCCGACTCAGCATCATTTTGCAGCCATGCCTGCAAGGTGAGAAGATCCAGATGATATGCAAAGTCGCTCTGAAGGCGGATGACATGGTCGGTCCAGGTATTCATGACTAGTGTTACCGTCGTGTTGAACAGTTTGTGCTCCAAATGCGTCGAGTGCTGCTCGCCGCATTTGGTTTCACGAGGTTCAGAAGTATTTGCACATACCGTCAGAGCCTGCAGTGCCATCCAGGTTGCAGCAGATTTTCTCTGGCATTAAAAGCTGGCTTCCAAGCAGTCTCAGACGGCGTCGACTCCCACCAGCCCTGTATCTCAAGTTCACTCGATGGAGGCGCTGCATACGTAGTGCTCTCTTCTGTGGCCGGGCGGCTCTTCCGAGGCTTGTATCAGGTCATGCCCGCGAGCCCAGTGTGCGTGTGTGTGTGTGTGTGTGTGTGTGTGTGTGTGTGTGTGTGTGTGTGTGTGTGTCTTGTTCTTGTGAAGTAGACGCCGTCACGTTGGTATCGTGCACTTTGTCCAACTCGTTGGACACGTCCTGCGCAGTACAAGAGGTCTGCTAAGGTGCAAACACTTCGCTTCCTTGATCGAGAGTTATGGGTATCGGGCAAAAGCCCACTCGAGAGCTGTGGGTTCAGTGTTGATCATCTTGTGGGGCAGCATCCAACGTTGGAGCTTTCGGAATCCACCGGGGGATTTCTAGAGTTGTGGAAGCTGATTACTGGAGAGGAAGCATACTGCCAAATAATTTCCGAATTTCCAGATATCTAGAACATGTTTCAAACATGTTTTAAACACGTAAAAACATGATTAAAACGCTTTGTTTGAGCATGCTTTACACATTTTAAAACATGTTTAATTCATCAAGAAGATTGTTAGAGTGTCCATTGTCGTGGCATCCACAGTTCGAGAGCCCCGCATTCGGGATTCCTCACGAGGAGTTCCAGATCTCCGGGCTCCCAACCGGTGAGAGGGGTCCTGGGCTGCTCGTGCGGACCTCCGCCGGCCCTGCTGCCCGAGGCCTGCCGTTGGCGGTGCGCTCCTGGCCGACCTCGTCACCTCGTCGCCCTGTGGAATCTCGCTGCCCGCCTCGTCTCCCGCCCACGGACAGGGGTCGTCTCGTGGCGCTGCGGCAGGAAGGCGGAAGGAGGAGGAGGAGGAGGAGGAGGAGGAGGAGGAGGAGGAGGAGGAGGAGGAGGAGAAGGAGAAGGAGAAGGGGGAAGAGGACGAGGAAAAGGAGAAGGAGGAGGAGGAGGAGGTGGAGGAAGAGGAGGTAGCCTCATCTTCTTGGTAGTCAGGCTCGTTGCCCTCCTCTCTGCCCCGCTGCTCGCCTCGTCGGCTCGCAGCCTCGCTTCGTGGTGCGCGGATGGCCCTCCCTGCCGCCTCGCTGCCCGCCTCGTTGCCTCGTTGCTGCCTCGCCGCCTCGTCGTTTCGTGGCCTGGTGCTCTCGTTGCCCGCCTCGCCGCCTCGTCGATCCGTCGCCCGGCTCGTCACCTCAGGGCCCGTCTTTTCTCTTCGCTACGCGCCTCGTCGGCTGGTTGCCTCGTTGCGTGGGGGGCTCGTTGCCCGCGTCGTCGCCTCGTCGCTCCACTGCTGACCCCGCCTCCTCGCCTCGTTGCACGCCTCGGCTACTCGTACTTTCGGAGTCGTCGTCGCCTTGCAGCCTCGTTGTGTCATGCGCCCGTTGCCCGCCTCATGGCCTCGTCGACTTTTTTTCCTCCTCGACGCCTGGTTTATTGCTTAGTCGCTCTCTGCTTCGCTGCGTGGTGCCCTCGCCGCCCGCCTTCTTGCCTTTCTGTATCGTTGCGTGGTGCGTATGTTGCCTGCTCGTCTGATTGTTGCCCGTCTCGTCGCCCCGCTAGTTTTTTTGAGTGGCTCGTTGTCCGCCTTGTCGTCTCGTCGCCTCTTTGCCTATCGTGACTCGTTGTTCACCTCTTCTCACTGTGACCCGGTCGACTCGTTTCCTTGATGGAAAGTCCGTCGCTCGATGCCACCTCGTCGCTTCATCGTGACATCGTTGGCTCGTCTCGTGGCGTCATTGACCCACGTCGCCTCGTTGGTGGCTCCGTTGTATTGTGATCTCGTTGTCCGCCTCGTGTCCTGGTTGCCTCTTAGCGTGGTGCCTTCGTCTTTGGCTTCGTTGGCCGCGCCGTTGCCTCATGGCATCGTTGTGTAGTGCGCTCGTTGTCCACATCGTCTCCTCGTTGCCCGCTTCGTTGCATGCCTCGTCATGTTGAGGCCACGTTTCGTGGTGCGCTTGTTGCCCGCCTCGTTGCTTCGTGGCATCGTTGTCTCGTTGCGTGCTGCACCAGTTGCCCGTCGCGTCACCTCGTCGTTTAGTTGCCGACCGGGTTGCCTCAACGCCTCGGTGTGCGCCGTGCCGCCTCCCACTGTCGCCGCGGGGTGCTTTCGAGGTCCGCCTCGTCGCCCCTCGTTGCGGGCTCTGTCTCCACGCTGTGCGGTGCGCTTGTTGCCAGCCTGATCGCCTCACTGCCCGAGTTGTCGCCTCGTGGCCTTGGCCCGTGGTGCAGTCGTCGCCCTCCTCGTCGCCTCGTGGCCACATACAGTCAACCCGCATAATGAGTAAGGATGGGCAACCTTCCCAAGGGTACCCTTGCATCTTTTCCTCCTCGGTCCATCCTTGGCCACTTTCGTTGGCCGCGCCCCGCTCGAAAACCTCCGAAATGGGCGTCCAAGGTCTTTGCATACTTATCGCGCATCCTTATGATGCGGGCCGACTGTATCATCCTTGCCTCATTGCTGTCTGCTCTCGTTGCTCGTTTCCGCCTTGCTGCTCTGTTGTATGTAGCCTTCGTTGCCCGCTGCGTCGCCGCGCCGCCTCGTCTCCTTGCTACCTGTTTCGTTGCGTGGATGCCTCGTTGCCCGCCTCGTCGCCTCGTTGCCTCCTTTCGCGGTGCGTTAGTTGCCCGCTTCGTCGCCGCGTTGCTTCGTTGCCCGCTTCGCCTCCTCGTTTCCTCGTTGCGTGGTGAGCTCGTTGCCTGTCTCGTCACCCCGTTGCCTCTCGCCGCATGCATGTTGGGCTCATTGCCCACCGCGTCATATTGCTGCTTCGTTGTAAGTCGCGTAAGTTGCTCACCTCGTCGCTTCGTGGACTTGTTGCGCGGTGTTCCTGTTTACCGCTTTATTGCCTCGTTGCGCCGTTGCCCGCATCCTTGCCTCGTCGCCTCGGCGCCCGTGCCTCTCTGCCCGCCCGTGTCGCCTCGCTGCGTGCTGCGCCCGTTGCCCGCTGCGTCACGTTGAAGACTCTGTGCGTAGTGCGTCTGTTGCCTGTCTCGTCGCCTCGTTGTCTCGGCGCCAACCTCATTGCCTCGTTGGGTGGTTCGTTCGTTGTTCGCCTCGGCGCTCCGTCACTGGCTTCGTGGCGTCGTGGATTCGTTGAACTGTACGCTGGATGCCCGCCCCTATCGTCTGGTCTCCTCGCCTTCTCGTTGCCTCGCGGTCTCGATGTATGCTGAGCTTGGTGCCCGTTCTGCCACGTCGTTATCTTTGCCGTCTTGTCCCGTCGCATCGTCGCAAATTTTCCTCCTCGTCTCCGTCGCGTGGTGCGCTCGTTGCTGGTCTTGTTTCTTCGTGCCTGGTGTACGGTGCATTCGCTGCTCACCTCTCGTGTGCTCGTTGCTCGCCTCGGCGTCTCGTCGTCACGTAGCCCACCTGGCCGCCTCGGTGCCTGGTTCCTTCGTTGCCCGCCGCATCGTCTCGTCGCCTCGGTGAGCGTTGCCTTCGCGGTCCGCCTCGCCGCCTCGGCGCGTCGTGGCCTCTCTGCGCCCCTTACCCCCCTACATCGCCTTGCGGCTCGCCTCGTCGCCTCGTTGCGCTGCGCGCTCCGTGCTGGCCGCGCCGCCCGTTGCCCGCCTCGCCGTCTCGTCACAGAGCCCCGCGGCCTGGCCTGATGCACCGGATGGCCCTGCTGCACCCGGGCGTTCGAGCGTTCTTCTCTCCTTCGGCGTGTCCTTCGCTGCTGCCGGTCTCGCTTGCCTGCTGCTCTTCCCACAGGTGCAGCTTTGAGGTCGCCTCAGACGAGGCTCAGGTGGCGTTGCCGTGGAGGCCCCCCAATCGCCAGGCATGGTGAATCGTTCTTGCGTGTCGGATGACCACCCTGATCGTCCCTGAACGTGGTTCCCGGGGAGGACTCTGGGCAGGGTGGGTCCTCGTCGCGCTGGCTGGATTCGAAGACTGGTCGCTTCGGCCAACTTGCTTCCCGCCCGTGTCCGAGGCGGGATCTCAAGCGTCGGCACTCGCCCCCCCTCCCCGAGGGGGAGGTTGCGCCCCCCTGGCGGCCCGAGGCCCTGACAGAGGGTTTCGCACGGCCGTCGGCTTCCGCGTGTGGCCGAAGGGGCCCGACGGTGAGGTGCCCCAGGGGCCCGTTGGGCAGGACGGCGCCTCGGCTGCGGGCCGAGGGCTCTTCGCGGGCGTCGCCTGCTTCCCCACCCTGCCTCCCTGGCTGGTCTGGTGCGTCGGCAGGCGGGGTCTCGAGGTCTCGGTAGGGTCTCTCGAGCGCCCCTGGCTGGCCGCGCCGAGTGTGCTGCCCAACTGTCCGTGCGGGCGCACTGGACTTTCTCAGGGGGGGGCAGCCCACCAGAGTCTTCCTCATGCGAAGCCCAGAGTGCTTGCGCAGATGTTCAGCCCAGTTGCGAGATAGGCCTTGGGGTGAGGGCCTTGGTTCCCAACGACTCTCAGCGGATCAAGACCCTGGGCCGGAAGAGTGACATTTCCGGAATCCGCCAGTTGAGCATGCGATCTCACAGGTTTTTACGGCTCGTAGGCGTCTGGGAGATACTGCAGAACGGGCTGCAGCGTGCAATGCAGTCATCAAACAGACATGCGGGAAGGACCCCGACACCATCGACTTGGCAGAGCGTAGCAACACGAGCGGACCATGGGAGGATTGCTGATAGATCGGGACACCGAGCGCTCGCAGGCATCAAGTTCATCCAGTTCTGATGTGCAGCGGTGGATACCATCGAGCTGGTACCGCTCTCTAGCTGCCCGTGCACTGCCCCGAATCCATCTGCTGTGGCCAACCCTAACCCTCAGGTGGTCCGCACGCCGTCAGCGAGGTGGGCGAGGGCCAGGTGAGCGGGTCCAAGCAGGGTAGGTAGCTTTCTCTCTCTCTCTCTCTTTGTCTTTCTCTCCCTGTCTCTCTCTCTCTCTCGCTATATCTGTCTTGTATGATATATGTACGTGTGTATGACTTAGCGTTCCTCCTTTCCGGATGCGGGGCTGCCTCCCCTCGCTTCCCTTCCGGGCTCTCGGCCTGGGCGGCCGGACGGGCACCAGTGCTCGGAGGTGAGCGGAGAAGAGGAGGAGCTGGTCAAGGAAGGGAGCCCGTCGAGCAAACTGTGGTGGCGCCCAGCGTAAGTCACTTGAAGCACGTCGGCGCCCGCGCCAAGCCAAGGCAGTCGAGATGCCGTTCCCTACGCAGCGAGAGCAGCAGTGTCCCGAGGAGGGTTTGAGGCACCGCGGGCAGAAGTGTTTTTCTTCGCGGTGTCCTCTCTGCCGGACTCGTGTGACCGCCACGGCATGGCTGTCCCGCTGCCCCGCTGCTGGCCTCGCCGCTTCGTTGCGTTGCACTGTGCCTCTGTTGCGGAACTGGCTGCGCCGCTGCCTCGACACCTCGCTGCATATGGCCTCGTTGGCTCGTTGCGCGGTGCCTTCGCTGTCCGCCTGGTCGCCCCGTGGCTTCCTTGTCGTCCTCGTGGGCCCGTCGATCCGTGATGGGCTCTCGCTGCGTGTCTCGCCGCCCCTTTTGCACGGCCCACTGCCCGGCTCCTCGCTGCGTGGCGCGCTTGCTGCCCCACGTCACCTCGAGGCGGGCAGCGAGCGTACCGTACAGCGAGGCAGCGAACGTGATGGGTGTGCAAAGGGGAGGCGAATAAGGCAACCAGTGCACGGCGCAAACGCTGTAACGAACTTGACAGCAAGGAGAACATGTGCACGACGAGCGTCGGTTGCAATGAGGTCGCACGGCCTCGACGTGAGTAGCGAGGCGACGGGGCGTGCAAGGAGCGTGCCGCACAATCAAGCAACGAGGTGGCGAGGTGGACAATGCAGCGACGAATCGGGCAATCAGCCGCCGACGCGACGAGGGAACAATTCAATACGGCGGGCAAGGAGGAGCCTTAGCTACGCGGCAGCGGTGCGACGAGGCGCGCATCGATCTCATCACACTAACAAGGCAACAAGACGACGAGGCGAACAAGTAGGTGTCGAGACGGAAAGCAAGCGCACCAACCAATGAAGAATCGAGGATCGAGGAGCCGAGGCAGCGAGGCAAACAATGGTGAATGGAAGTGGGCAGCGCGCGCACCATGCAACAAGGCAACCATGCATCGCGGCATTGGTGTATGAGGCCGGCGGGCTAGGCCAAACGTGCACCACGCAACACCACAACGGTGCAGCAGGGAAACGAGGCAACAGTGCAACGACACGGAGAATGAGCGCGTCGCGATTTCGAATTGTGAGCCCTCTCGGACCTCGGATCTCGAGGCCACACTGGGCGTGGACCTAGCCGCGCCGAGGGCGCACATGGGGCAACGTGCTGCTGCCTCAACAGTCAATCCGCACAGTAAGGATGAGCAACTTCCCAAGGTTGCCCTTGCATCTCCTCCCTTCGGACCGTTCTTGGCCACTGTTCAGAGGAGCATGAAGTATTGAGACTGATAGTTTTCAAGATTTTCAGGTTTTCCCGTTCTTCCGCGCGGGCTCCAGAGACGAATGGTCGAGCGCATTCCGTCGCGCAGGTTCTTTGCGTGATGTGCGCGATGCATTTTTCGCGCATCGGAGCGCCCTCGGAGATTCCAAGCTGCAGTTTGTTTTGCTCTTGGCGAGTCAGTGGATCGCAGCTGCCGTGGCGCGATTCTCGAGGTAATACCTTCGAGTGCTGTTCGCGGGCGCAGGGCGCGGCGCGCGCTGCGCCGATTCGCGCGCGGCGCGGTGCGTGAATCAGCCGGCCGCGCCCGTCGGACTGCCCAGAAATAATTTGTCAGATTATAGAATTTTTCAAAAAAACGCTTCCGGTTTTTCGGCGCAAGCGGTTCCGGAAATTTTCAAAAATGAGTTTGGCAATTTTCCAAACAAGCGCATTTTTTTGGGATGGAATGGGTCCGCCGCGCAGGACGTCGGAAATGCGGCGAGGCGCGCAGTGCGCGGCGGCGGGCGACGGGGCGGCGCGCCACCGTCCCCCCCGCGCTCGGCAACGAAAGGGGGGATCAGCAAATGCCCAATAGCCCCGCACGGGCGACTACTCGATTGCGAATGGGTGACCGACCAATGGCGCCAGGCAGAGTAGACAATACTCGACGCAAAGTGTTCCCCGTGCGAAGGCTGTTAGAAATCCCGGAATTCCCGGAACGTATCAATCACACGCTGTGCCAATATATATTATTATCGTCCTAACTCCCGCTGGCCGCGCCCCGCTCGCAAAGTGAAGGCATGGCCTTCCAAGGCCCTTGCATCCTTACGGTGAATCCTCAGTGTACGGGTTGACCATGCATTTTCGGAGCTCCGCGAGGATGCCTTGGGTCTGCGCCGCCCCATGTGCGCCAAGCGAGGGTGGCGGTCCAGAGCCGAGCGAAGGACTCCGCACGGACCTCCGAAGGTTCCTTCTTTAATCGATCCGTTCTTTCCGCTGGCCCATCTTGCATCACCGGTGCTATCTGTTTGTTTGTTCGTGGCGAGCGAGGATCTAGATCGGCATAGTAACCCCCACCCCCACTCACATCAAAACCCATCCAATTTCACCCTCCACAGCGCCCCCCTGGAAATGCGTTCATGCAGTTCGAGTAAAATACAAATCGCCGTATGAGCGCAGATCGCATGGGCTGCGCCAGCCGTCTTTTCGTGCGGTCGATCGCGCGGCCCACCGGCATTGCGTGGTGTCGGCAGCCCTCGGGGCCCGCCCGCTCTCGGAGCCGATGCCACGCAAGGAGTTTTGCGCGAGCCGAGGGCGAGCCTCGCGCTGGTTTCGCCCGAGCCGCGCTCAAGCCGTGCTGGGTTTCCGCGCGGGTCCTGCGCCATTTCTTCACGGCCAATTGTGCGACTTTCGTTATGTTTCGCGCACAGCGCGCACCAGTGCACGCGGGTTTGGAGCGTCCAGGAAACCCCACATGGGCGCCGTGCAAGCCCCGCGCGGGCCCCGTGCGACAGTTGCCCAGTTCGCCGCCCCCTAGGCGGCCGCGGGGTCTCGACTGGATCCCCGTGGGCCCACACTCCGCTGGACTTCCCAGGGGCTCATGGAAGTGGCCCGCGAGGTCTCGACGGGATCCCCGTGGGCCCCCACTCCGCTGGACGTCCCAGGAGCCCGTGAGAATGGCGACAATTGAGCACGTCGCAGGCCCCCAGGGGGCCGCGAGGTCTCGACGGGATCCCCGTGGGCTTCCACTCCGCCTGACGTCCCAGGAGCCCATGAGAGTGGCGACATTTGCGCACTTCGCAACCTCCCCAGGGAGCCGCGAGGTCTCGACGGGATCCCCGTGGGCTTCCCCCTCCGCTGGACGTCCCAGGAGCCCGTGAGAGTGGCGGCAGTTGCGCTTTTCGCAGCCCCCCAGGGAGCCGCGAGGTCTCGACGGGATCCCCGTGGGCCCCCACTCCGCTGGACGTCCCAGGAGCCCATGAGAGTGGCGACAGTTGCGCACGTCGCAACCCCCCCAGGGGGCCACGAGTCTCGACGGGATCCGCGTCGGCCCCCACTCCGCTGGACGTCCCTGGAGCCCACGAGAGTGGCGGCAATTGCGCACTTCGCAGCCCCCCCCCCAGGGAGCTGCGAGGTCTCGACGGGATCCCCGTGGGCCCCCACTCCGCTGGACGTCCCAGGAGCCCATGAGAGTGGCGACAGTTGCGCACTTCGCAGCCCCTCCAGGGGGCCGCGAGGTCTCGACAGGATCCCCGTGGGCTCCCACTCCGCTGGACGTCCCAGGAGCCCGTAAGAGTGGCGGCAGTTGTGCTTTTCGCAGCCCCCCAGGGAGCCGCGAGGGCTCGACGGGATCCCCGTGGGCCCCCACTCCGCTGGACGTCCCAGGAGCCCATGAGAGTGGCGGCAGTTGCGCACTTCGCAGCCCTCCCCCTGGGAGCCGCGAAAAGCAAGAAGCAAGAGAGGCGAGGAAGAGGAGGAAGAGGAGGAAGAGGAGAAAGAGGAGGAGAAGCAGGAGAAGGAGGAGGGGGGAGGGACGGGGCGCACAGTGCTCTATTCAAAACGAGAGCCCAACAAAGGAGGGTTGGGAGCGAGAGCCGAACACAGGAGGGTTGGGAAATAACAAGCAGGAGCAAGGAGGAGGAATAGGAGGAAAAGGAAGAAATATGAGGACGAGCAGGAGGAGGAGGAGGAGGAGGAGGAGGAGGAGGAGGAGGAGGAGGAGGAGGATGAGAGGAGGAGGAGGAGGAGGGAGGAGGAGGAGGAGGAGGAGGGGAGGAGAGGAGGAGGAGGAGGAGAGAGGAGGAGGATGAGGATGGAGGATGAGGATGAGGATGATGATGAGGAGGAGGAGGAGGAGAAGGAGGAGGAGGAGGAGGAGGAGGAGGAGGAGGAGGAGGGAGGATGAGGACGGATCATTCAAAACGAGAACCCAACACAGGAGGGTTGAGAACAACATCTGTGGTGGGTGGTGGTCCCCCTCCCCCATGATATTTAATCGCTTCGCTCATTCCGCCGGCCCTGGAGCCCTCTTTAGGGCCTCTTGGGGGCCTCTTGGGGACCTCTTGGGAGTCTCTTGGGGCTCCTTGGCGGCGTTTTGGAGGCCCCCAGGGCCTCTTGGGGGGCTCTTGGGGGTAGTCGATTGCGGCTCCCCCCTCGGAGGCCACGATCCTCGTGAGGGGTGTCGAAAAATACCCTCCCCTGGAGTGGTCTGGTGGCTTCTCCCGGGCTTCTCTCGGGACCTTGCCGGGGTACTTTTCGTCCGGGGGCCCCCAGGGGCCGCTCCGCGCGCGCGAACTAGAAATATTGTGAACAAGTTACCGGAGATCTTAGCACGCCTCTGGCCCGTTGGGCCGGCGAATATTTTATGGAAAGACCTACCAATCGAAAAATTAAGCCCTTTGGCCAAGCCCGGCCAACCCTCCAGGCCAACCCCATTCGGCC